GTTCCTCCTTGGAGGCAAAATTTTGAAGCTCCATCTCACATGCTTTGGGTATATTGCTAGAAGGGGCCAATCCTTGGAGAAAGACATCATGCTTGGAAAGGTGGAGATACAGCATAGGAGAGGAAGACACTAGATGAGAGAGACTGACGTAATAACTAGGGTAATGAGAGTAGGTGTGTTGGAGGCAGTGAGTTTGGTTCAGGATAGGACAGGGTTCAGAGCTGTTGTGCATAGGCTTGCTATGAGTTGTAGGCAGCTCAATGACATGTAAACCTAATAATATTGTATTTATGAAGAGAAGGTATGTCATCAGGTACACTCATTTAAAAAAGAGAAACAAGTAAGACTAAATAAGAACTGTAAACATCTATTTCCATTTACCAACAAGTTTGACATAAAGATATGCTTAGGAACAGGTCGCATTCAATAACCCAGGTACTGTCTTGGATATATACTGTAAAACATAAAAAAATGTACTTTATGAAAAATGAAGCAAATATAAACATAAACATCATACTAATTTCTTTCTACACCTACTGGATATTATGCACTCTCCAGTGTGACAAGTCTCTCACTCCCAATTTGAGTTGTGCATCCTATGTTTCTATGACAGCCTTTCCACTAGTCCCTCTGCCTCAGTATCTTCCTTGCCACATCCTTTCTTCACATCATGATTTTATCAAAACCCAAATCTGATGATGTTAAACTTCAAAAAAAAAAGAGAAACAAAAGAACAAATATTTATAATAACTATAAGAGAAAGACTGTTTCAAGTGATAATAACCACTTGTAAGTAAATCTTAATGACTTGAATTATAGATAGATTGAAAAGTTAAAATTTCACTTAGAAAATTATGAGTCAATTAAAAAAATTCAAACTCACTGCCATTGAGTCCATTTTAATACATGCTGTTTTTGTTGTTATAAGCTGCCTGTGGAGTGTTTTTACTATGACTCACAGCAACCCTGTGAACACTGGATCCTACTCATAATGACCCTTTATTGTGACTTTGAATCTGTAAATCTCAAAGGAAGGAGACTTCTCTTCTTGCTCTGGCTGAGTGAGCAGTGAATGCAAACTACTAGGGGCCCCCAGCCTTTGGGGTAGCAGTGCACCACTCCACAGACCATGCTACCAGACTCTAAGAAATATTCAGGCACTTTTTTAAAAAAAAAAAAGAAGACGAGAATCATAAGAGTACAATAATCTGAAAAAATACAAATGAGGAGACATGTAATTCCATAGATATTTTAATACTCCCCCATTTTAGAAAACCCTATTTTGTATATAAACTTTGCAAGCAAACCAATATAAAATGGGGGGGGAAATCCCATTAGGTAACTTAATAATCAACTAGGATTAAAAATGTTGCCACCTACAGAATTATACAATTGCTTATGGCTTTAATATAAGACGACAAAGAAACACTATGAGAATTAATAAAAATAAATTATGCAAATGAAAACATCTGTTACATTTCCTGAATCCATTTCGTAAATTAGCAAAGACAGTAGTTTATGTGATAAGACAGCCCTCCAAAAAGAATGTTATTAGGCGGGCACTCCCACATAACCAACCATAAACAACCAGAATGCCAAGTGTTTCTAAGCTTTATGGAACACAATTTGGTGCAAGAATCTTAAACTACTTTTTTCCCCTTCACCTCAGTAGTTTCACATTTAGAAATTTGTCTTACTAAAAGCCATACAAGGAAATTTGGGGAAACAAAATTAACTGTAAGCAAAAGCCTAAATACAGTAGAAAGGGCTTGTTGGATGGAATATTATACAGTCATATATAAGTTTTCCAAGGTTGCCTATTCATGTACTTGCCAAAGAATTTGAACTGGGTTTTGTTGTTGGTTTTTTTTCCCCCATAACCTTAATAATCACAGACAGTATTACTCTCATTTGGAATCTCAGTCAGTGTTTGTTATTGTTAGGCTGTCTGTTAATGTGCAAAAGAGTCAAATAGTAAATGTTTTGCTATTGTTATAAATGTGAAATTTTAGATAATGAAAGGGTTGATGGATTATTAATAAAGTCACAATTTTTCAATTCAAATTATATTAACAGATTTTTCTTACTGCAATGATATCTCTAATCTGCACATAAAGTTTAGATATTTTCACATTCTATTTTATTTCCATTTTAGGCAGAGTAAAATGTCTCATTTCAGAATGACTCTGTGAAAATGTTCAAATAGAAATGTCAAGTTCCACTTCTAGGCCTGTTTTAGAAGAGGTCATGGCACTAGAGAAATTATCGCCAATTTCTGATGGATCTTGGCTAAAATCCAAAAGTACCAGAGGAGTGTCTACCTGTGTTTCATTGACTATGCAAAGGCATTTGACTATGTTGATCATAACAAATTTTGGCTAACCTTGAGAAAAATGGGAATTTCAGAGTACTTGACTATTCTCAGATGAAACTTAGACCAGGAAGCAGTCCTCAGAACAGAATAAAGAAACACTGCATGGTTCAAAATCAGGAAAGGAGTGCATCAGGGATGTGTCCTGTCTCCATACCTTTTCAATCTGTGTGTGGAACAAATCATAAAAGCTGGACTTTATGAGGAAGAATGTGGCATCTGGATTTGAGGAAGATTCATCAACAACCTGTGTTATACAAATGGCACAACATTGCTTTATTAAGGAGGACCTGAAGCATTTGCTGCAGAAGATCAAAGGACTGGAGTCTTCAATGTGGATTGAAACTCGACATCAATAAAATAAAGATTCTTACCACTGGGCCAACTGGCAGTATCATGATAGATGGAGAAGAGATTGAGGTTGTTAACAGTTCCATCTTACCAGGCTCCACAATCAATACTCTTGGCACAAGCAATCAGAAAACCAAAAGACAAATTGCACTGGATAAATTTGCTGTCAAGGACCTCTCCAAAGTGCTAAAGAGCAATAATTTCTACAGACTTAGTCTGACCTGATTGAGGCCGTTGTCTTCATAATTACTTGCTATGTATCAAAAAGGTGAACAATGACTAAGGATGATGGAAGAATAATTGATGTCTTTGAGTTGTAGTACTGGAGAAGAGCCTTGAACATATCATTGATGTTCAAGAGAACAAGCAGGTTTGTCTTAGAGAGGGTGAAACTAAGCTGTTCCTTGGAGGCAAGGATTTTGAAGCTCCATCTCACATGTTTTGGGCATGTGGCCAGAAGAGACTAGTCCCTAGAGAAGGACATTATACTTGGAATGGTGGAGGGACAGCACAAGAGAGGAAGGGAAGACCCTGGATGAGATGGATTGACATCATAACTGGCATAATAGGGGTAGGTTTGTCAGAGACAGTGAAACTGGTTTAGGATAAGTCAGGATTCAGAGCTATCACACATTGTTGTTGTTGTGTACCATAGAGTTGGAACCGACCCACAGCTGACCTTTCCAGGGTTTTCAGAGGCAGTTAATTGCATGGGAGGAGATTGCCCATCCTTCTGCAGAGTAGCTAGTGACCTCAAACCACGTGCCTTTGGGATTTCAGCATAGCTTCTTGCTGCTAGGCCAGAATCACAGGTGACTTAGTGGCACATAACAATAACAACATCACCTCAGTGATAGGGAAGCTCTGGTTATATAATGAAATGCTATGTTAAGTCAAAGGTTTCACAGCTCTGGAGGTTTGAAACAAGCAGTGGCTTTGCTAGAGAAATATATATAGCAGTATCTTCCTGTTGTGATTTTACATTTCTTACTATAATGCACCAAATTGCATTCCAGAAGGTTTATAGATGACTTGCATTCTGGATGGCATTATATAGGCGTTCTTGCATCCCCACATTCTTTCTGGAAATTGTGTTTTCATATAAGCTCTCTTGTCTAATTTATTTAATAGGTTAAAGAAACCGATGGAGGGTCACTATGAGTTGGAAATGACTTTGATAACAATGAGAGGGTTTTTTTCCCTTTCTTTGTTTTTTTTTTTTTCGTATTTGCTATCTCAGTGGAGATGTTTTTGTCTTTGTGAAATGAGTATAAATAGTCTGGAGGACAAAGGCAGATGTACATCTATTATTGTTTTCTACTAACTGCTCAAGCATCCATCTACCTAGTCAACAGAGAGCTGATTCTATTTCTGAGGTCTTCGTGAATTATTTAACACTCAGTACAAAGGGAAACACACTTTTTCTAATTTTAAGTGGCAGCAGGAGTTTGGTTAGTCCCAAACTATTACCATTTCTCAGTATTCTATTTTAAATTTACCCTCTAACCATGTCTACTCAATAACTTTATCAGGATAATGTCCTAAAATGAGTACTTTAAACTCATATCCTCAATGTATCTTTATATTGATTTTTTTTCCTAATTCCTTGTGACTTTCAGGCTCTGAAAATCCATCGGGAGGGTCACATACGAGTCAGTTTCTACTCAACAACAATGAGTGAGTGAGTGAGTTTACAGTATAAACATCCAAGGACAGGATGACATATCCCAGTAAACAAAGCTTTGTTTCATTTTATTTTCCCCTTTTGTTATTTAAGTGAAAGTTTACTGATTATATTGCTTTTTCCTTCAATCACTCATAGACATTTTGTTTTATAATATTAATTACAACTGCTCATCTAAGTGAAGCGTATGATCCTAAAGCTTAAAGACAGAAGAAAAAAAGAAAGGAAATTTTATAGAGGATATGAGTCATCTTAAGATAGTATATAATATTAGCAATTGGTTGAATCTATTTCCTTTATCATTTCCTTCAGCCTAATATAGTATCTTTGTCCCTGGGTTACAGAATCTATTAAGTGTTTATCTAAGAATGGAACGTTTGAGGTTTCAAGCCCAGCAGAGGCATTTTGGAAGAAAATCATGGTTATCTGTTTCCAAAACCTCTAACTTTGAAAATTCTGTAGAGTGCAGTCCTACACAGAATTATCTGAGTTGGAATAAATTTGAAGGCAAATAAATGAGTGGATGATTCTGACCTGGTGAATGAACGGAGAAAGGAAAACTGTGAGCCTGTTTTAGCGTTTGGAGGGTGTCAACTACATATATTTTCTTAGAACCCTCCTAAGGGCACCCATGACTTCTTTATTCCTCAGGCTGTAGATGAGAGGGTTCAGGGCTGGAGTGACAATTGTATAGAAAACAGAGATAATATTATCCTGCTTTGGGCTGTGAAGGGAATTGGGCAGAACATACATGAATGTGGCAGCCCCATAGAACATCCCAACCACTATCAGATGGGAAGAACATGTGACGAGGGCTTTTTGCCTCCCTTCATTTGAGGACATGTGAAGCACAGTGAATAAAATTAACATATAAGAAGAAATGATGACAAAGAGGGGGGGCAAGAGGAAAACCACACCTGTCACATACACCATGAACTCGTATCTGGAAGTATCAGCACAGGCCAGCTTCAGCAGAGGGGGAATCTCACAAAGCAGGTGTCTGATTTCTCGGGACTTGCAGAAAGTGAAGTGCATGGTATACAAAGTATGACACAGAGCACTCAGAGATGCCAGGATCCAGGAAGTGGCCACCATGAGCCAGCAGACCCTTGGTCTCATGAGGACCATGTAGTTCAGAGGATGACAAATGGCCACATACCTGTCATAAGCCATGAAGGCCAGCAAGAGGTCCTCGGCACC